GGCTAAATCACTGGGCTGTATGAAGGATTTATCACACACTTCACAGGTATACGGTTTTTCACCTGTGTGGGTTCTCACATGTCGAGCCATCGTATTACCATGACGAAAAGATTTACCACATGTTTCACAAGAATATGGTTTCTCCCCTGTGTGTGTTCTCATATGTCTGGCTAAGTTACTACAGTGGCTGAATGATTTTCCACACACTTGACAATGATAAGGCTTCCTACCTGTGTGGGTTTTCATGTGTTTGGCTCTGGCACTACAATCAGCAAAGTATTTATCACACAGTTCACAGGCATATGGTTTCTCACCTGTGTGAGTTCTTATGTGATCAGTCAGGTACTTGTATGTAGTGAAACATTTGCCACATATTTCACAGGATGGTATATTTAGTTTAGGTGCTTTTAGTTTTGAGTTGTTTCCTCCCGGGTTGCTTCCTTGCTGATGCTGGTCCTCAGCTTTAAGGCAGTTCTCAAAACGAAGTTGGTCCTCGTTTGGCTCTCTGTTGTCCTTAAGTTCATCAGCAGGAGTCACCAGACAGGTGTGAACCTCCTGCTTCTCCACCAGCTGACCTCCATCCTGATCACTGCAGAGATCATCCTCCTCCTCTTTAAACTTCACAGGTTCTGGTTCTTCTGGTTCCTCTTTCACCTGTGAGGGTTCTGGTTCCTCCTTTGTCTCCATCATCTGCTGCAGTTCTGGTTCAGTGTGGAATATTTCCACATCAGCAGGAGTCACCATAGAGGTGTTGGTTTCCTGCTTCACTTCATCCTGGGAGATCCTCAGTTCAACCTGTTCTTCTTTGATTGGTTCCGGCTCTGGTTCCTCCTGCTTCTCAACCATTTGCTGAGGTTCTGGTTCCTCCCCTTCCTCTTTTATCTGTGCAATGTTTGGAGTACTGTAATCAACAATTAGGTTTCTCTCTTTGGTTATGAGAGAGTTGTCCTCCAGAACCTCCCATGTAGTGACAGACATCATGCGTTGGAGGATCTGAGAGGAAGAACAGAAGATTATTTACATTTCTGTAAAATGTTTTTATTAAGAGAAAAAAGTAAAGTGAGATTTGTCATTTAAAGTGATGGTTGTAATTATTACCAAGGTTGGCTAAGTAAATCATCAGTATCAATACATTCAAATATACAATAAAATTTGTTTTCAATTTAAGCACATTTTGGATATCAAAAATTGTTTAAATTACTCCAAATTTCCATGTAATATTTATAATTTTAATTTGGAATACTTTCAAGAACTTCCAGTCCAACTGAACTTTTGTAGAAACTTTTAGGAAAGTTTCCAGAAACATTCAGCCCCTGAACAGCGTGTCAAACTGACACGGCATTGGATGGAGACACCCAAAGTCCAGCAGGAAGCAGCAGGTGGGCAGGTTGAGGACCCGGAACCACGTGTTTACTTACAGAAAGAGCTGGTAGCGTTTCAGAGTCCAATAAATGTCCAGTATTTACTGTGTGAAGTCATTTTTGTCCTCTTTAAGAGACCCATTTCTTCTGTTCTCAATTAGCTTGGAGGCTAACTGGTCTCTTTCAGGTTGCTGTTGCTGCTAAAACAGAGAAAAATCCCTGTTACAGAAAGGCTTGTAACACTGTCAGCCGTTAGAAGGAGACAAGCATAAAGTTTCTTTACAGCCATTTACTTTGAGATATTTACTAAATGTCTTTTCTAACAAAGTATCACAATATCTCAATCTACAATAAAGATCATGTCTTTCTATTCTGAGTCCATTACAATACTGTAATAATTCAAATTAAATTCAAAATTCAAAAATACTTTATTAATCCCAAAAGGAAATGAAATTATAAATACATTATGAATAGAGACCTGGAATATTTTTGTTATTTGATTAATGATCTGAAAGATTAAAGTGTAGCAAAAACAAATGTTAACGATGTAAAATCGATGTTTATACCGAGGATCACAGTAGACACGTTCCTAACGAAGCTGTAGCTGAACAGGTTGAACTAAAGATTGTCACAAGCTACATAAATTATATAGACTTAAAACATTTTACTCCCCCTGTTGTATTTTACACCATGATAACTACTAAATAAATAAATAGACATTCAGTTGGAAATAAACTCCAAACACAAACTGAGTTTAAGCTTAAACACAAACAGTAATGAAGAAAACAAACCATCGAGCTGATGACACGGACATGTCCTGGTTCCTCCGCGGTATTAACTAGTTCCTTGATCATAATTTCTGCTTTCCAGTGTTAGTTCGTTCAGAACCGTAAACTTAACAGACAGGAGATTCCGAGGTGATTTGGGTTTCGATCTTTTCCTCCTAACGGACTTTGCTGTTGAATTTTTCTCCAGCAGCAGGGAGTCGATCTGATTAATTCTCTCTGATGATGAACCGAAGATTTTGTTAATGTTGTCACTGAAATATTCAGCTGAAAGCAAAAACTGTTTTCTACCCGAACATACAGATGGAATCCTGGAAGCTAAGCTACTAGCTTCTTCTTGTTTACTTCCGCCGGAAGTCCCACACGGAGATTTGCACTCGAAACAGTTCACGTCCTTTGAGTTCCGACTCCGACTCTAAGCATTTGGATTTTTAATCAACTATTAATTTATTGTATTTGAGTTATAATCCAAACATAAAAAGATATTTTTTCTATTAATGTTATAATTATTTAATTCAGGGACCTAGATAGATAGATAGATAGATAGATAGATAGATAGATAGATAGATAGATAGATAGATAGATAGATAGATAGATAGATAGATAGATAGATGTAGTTCTAAGGTATTTCTGAAAACCAATTAATACTACATCACTTATAAAGTTTCCAGAACAAACTGGAAGGGTCTGTAATTAAGCTTAGCAACTTTATTTAATATCCAGACAAGGCAACCAATGGTAATAAAATAGCAAGGCTACAGCTGAAATGAACACATAAACAATTAAAACCTGAAAATATAATAAAAATCATGACTACATTAACATGCAGTCAAAAGACAAAAATGCTGCAGAACATCAACAGGTCCAAGGTAGAACTGAACATTAGTTTACCCAGGACCATTAATGCAATTAATGTTTTAGTGTAAAGTGCCAAGAGGTAAAGAAATCTAATAAATATTACCGGTAAGTTAGTGGAATATAAAAATAAAAACAGTGACAAGTTAAAACCATAAAACAATCCTCAAAACAAAACATCACACGTTTTATTATTGTCTAAAAAATATTCTTAGTACAATCAATAAAATAAATGTCACTTTATTTCTAAAGCACTTAAAATACAACACAGCATCTGACAGACGTGCTAAAAAAATAAATAAAAAAGACAACTACAAAAAAATAGAAATCAAAGCATCAGAAATACAAGTAAAGATACAACATTAAAACACAGACGCTACCTCATTCCTGGTTAAAAACCAAAGGAAAAAAGTGTTTTAAATGAGCTTTAAAAACAGAAAGAGATGCTTCCTGCTTCACGTTCAGCAGCAGCTCATTCCACAGTTTAGGAGCCAGAGCTGAAAAGGCTCCAAATCCTCTGGATTTATAAAAGGTATTCAGGATTGCTGCGTCAGACTGGCAACCTGTCCAGGTGACCCACCTGAGGCAGCAGCACCTCCCGACCCCACCAGGGATAAGGATGGATGGATGGATGGATGGATGGATGGATGGTAAATTATCTGGGCAGATGATCAAAGAGCACATGATGGCATAGAGAGGTAAAGTAGTTCAAGACCAATAAACACAAACAAAACTTTTAAAATGGAATTGAATCTGATCCTGGTTAACGCTGATCAAAAGAGAATCACAATAATCCAGACATGAAGTAATAAAAGCAGGGATCACTGTCTCTAGGTGGAGGGAAGGGCCCTGATTGTTGACAGTTAAGTTTCAGGCAGGTTTTCATTTTCATACCTAAATTTGTGACAGTGGATTTTTTTAAAGGGGCCAAAGGAAAAAAAAATCAAAGGTGGAGATACTGCTGGGCCACTAGAACCCAGTGGCAGAAGATAAAGTGAGACGAGAACCAAGAATACAGCCCAGCGGTAAAACTATCCATCACACAGAGCCGTCGATCAGAAAGGTAAAACCTGAACCACTGATGGCTCCCACTGCCAGTTCAGGTTGTTTTCACATTTTTACTGGCTTAACCATTGATAAGCACTAAAAACCCATGACTATAAAATGAAAAGAGATTAGATCATCTTTAAGTAATAACAAAATGCATATGCTAACACAAACACATTTAGTTTTGCAGTGCAGCTTTTATCATTGGTGGCTGAAGGAATTGAGCTCAAGGTCCCAGGAGTCTCCTACCCATCACTCTTTGTCCACCAGACATAAAACCTCCCACTAAAACAGACATACTAAAGATTTTTAACTGATTCGTGAGTATATAAACACTGTAAGGCACTCGCCAAACGACTCCCCACTCAGAGGCCAATGAGTGATGAGATTCAGACCTGGCTGGTCTCACCCTGATCAGTATTTCAGGACAAAAAGACTCGCCTGGGTTCTGACGACCTACATCTCTCCTTTCTATCATTTAGTTGGACTGAGTGTCCAACTAGGATTCCCAGACAGAACCCATCAATAGTCATCCATCTGCATTTCCACTGAAACTGGGGGATTCAAAGTGGAGGCTTTGGGGAGACAGAAGTTTTCATGCCCCAGATGATTTCTGCAGAAGGCAGATTGTTGACGCCTGTTGAAATGGTTTTCAGATGTTTGTTGTCACACAGACCCACTGAGCTCATGTGAAATTCCTCACACTGCAGTTTTCTCATATACGTGGTTTACAACAGTAAACATGGTGCAGAGGTTCGACTATTACGAGTTCATGACAAGCAACAAACGCTTCAAACATCAAAATGATCAAACATGTAGTGTAAAATATTGAAATAAAATCTATTTATGTTCCAGTTAGAAATCAAAGGTAAATCGAAGCTTTTAGATTGTATTCACATATTTATCTACATGACATGTTCTCTGGTGGAGCTAGCAGACATTTAAACTTTTTGCAGCAGCTATGATTTCCTGCCAGTCTCACTTGTGTGAGTTTTAAGGTGACAAACTAAACTTTTTCTCAATCTGAAAGATTTATCACATAGTTCACAAGAATATGGTTTCTCACCTGTATGAATTCTCATATGGCAGATCAGAGCACGATGCTGTACAAAACGTTTATTACAGCATTCACAACTAAACAGTTTCTCGGCTCTGTGAGTTCTCAGGTGATCAGCCAAATTAACTTTCTGTATGAACGATTTACCGCACAGTTTGCAAGGATGTGGCTTCTCACCTGTGTGAGTTTTAAGGTGATCAGCTAAATGACTGTTGCGTCTGAAAAGTTTATCACACAACTCACAATGAAATGGTCTTTCATCTGTGTGAGTTCTTTGGTGACAAGTTAAAATACTTCTGGTGCTAAAAGCTCTATCACACATGTCACATAGAAATGGTTTTTCACCAGTATGTGTTCTGAGGTGACGTATTAAATTACTTCTTGTGCTAAAAGATTTATCACACATGTCACAAGGATGTGGCTTCTCCCCTGTGTGAGTTCTGAGGTGAGCAGTTAAGTAGTAAGGCTTAGTGAAACATTTACCACATACACTACAGAGGGGCAAATCAGATTTTTGCCTTTCTAGTTCTGAATTGTCCCTCAGATTTCTGGAGTCAAGAGGTTTCTGCTCCGACTGCAGATCTTCATCTCTACTGGATCCTGAGTGGTTCTGGTTGCTTCCTTGGTTCTCATCTTCAGCCTGGACTCCAGAGAGGAGCTGCTTCCTGTCTGTTTGCTCAGTAGTTGGAAACACCATAATGGTTTCAGGCTCCTGCTTCACTGTAAGATGATCTTCATCCTTATCCTTCTCTTCCTCTCGAATCTTCACAGGTTCTGGATCTGCTGGTTCCTTTTTAATCTCTACAGGTTCTGGATCCTGTTTCGTCTCCATCCTCTGCTCCAGTTCTGGGTCATTGTGGAGTAATTCCTCATCAGCAGCAGTCACCATTGAGGCGCTGCTCTCCTGTTTCACTAAAAGCTGCCCTTCATCCTGAAAGATCAACAGTTGAATTTGTTCTACTTTGATTGGCTGAGGTTCTGGTTCCTCCTGCTCCTCTTTTATCCGTCTCTGATCATCAACCAGAACATCTGAAGTAGTAACAGACATGATGCTGCGCAAGACCTGAGGGAAGAACAGTAGAACATTAATGCAAATGTTTAAAGTTCATTTAATACAATCTGGACTTTAAGGATTATTATTTTACTAATGTCCTTTACTGTAACATATAAAATTAGTTTTTAAAAATAATATTGTAAACATAGGCAAAATATCTCTCAATTAAACATGATGTTTACTAAAGCCGACAGACCCCCTGAAACACGAGTCTTTGTGTCAGTCCTCCATGTTTACACGTCGTCCAGCCACCTGTCTGGTTTTACAGCCACAGTGACGTCAGGAAACCCGGAGGGTCTTAAGACACGAACACTGGACTCTTCCGGTGCTGCAGCCCTGCGCTGCGTTTCACAAAGAAAACTACAAACATAAAGACATTCAGCCCGAAATAAACCCCAAGCAACAACTGCTAACAAGACTCAGGTCAAAAACACAAAGAGTGATGAACAAAGCAATCCAAATCACACACATGTCCTGATTCCTCCGCGGTATCAACTAGTTCCCTGACTCTTTTCATTCAAAACCGCACAGTGAACGTACCGGGAGGTTCCGAAATAATTTGAGTTTTCCAGCTGATATCCGACAGTCTGAGCTGATGATCGATATCCTCCTCCAAATTATGACATCAGACCTTTATATCGCTTTATCAGGACATTCACAGACGCTTTTCATGAAATCAGGCATTTCCATTCAAGTTAATGAAGTTCAATATTTCTCCCGCAGCAGCAGCTAGACTCTGGTGAATTCTCTCTCATGATGAAAAGAAGATATTGTTTATGCAGACACTGAAATTTTCAGCTCACACAGCAAAAAACCTCTTCTAACCAAAGATATACAGAATGAATCCTGGAAGCTAACGCTGCTAACGCCTTCTGGTTTACTTCCGCCGGAAGTCTCACATGGAGATTTGCACTAGACACAGTTTCCACCCCTTCAGTTCCGCCTCCGGCTCTAAACATTTGGGTTTTCATCCGATAATTCATTTTATTTAATTTTGGAAATGAGCCAAACATGCAAACAGTATTTCTTACATAAAATTAAATGATTTATTTTTTACAGGGACAGCACGTATTAATTACATTTCTGAAAAAATGCCAGTTAGCCAGAAGGCTATTTTTCACCTGCAGTCCCCAGACAAATGGTAAAATTCCCTTAAAAGAATCAGAGTAAAATTACATATTTAAATGAACAAAATAACAATTACAATACATTTAGTAAAAAACACATTACTATTTAGCACTTTAGAGCTAAAATACATAGACCAACTATCAGACAAACAGACATGAACAATAAACATACATAAGACAGCAGAGCAAGGTCTAATTATACAATAAACTAATTATTTTACTGTATCATAAATGTGCTATATTTATTTAAGATGATGATGATGATGATGATGATGATGATGATGATGATGATGATGATGATGATGATGATAATGGAAACGAGGTTCCATTCAGTAGCAGGTCAAACAGAAAAGGCTGTTTTGCCAAAAGCACTTTTGCTAAAAATAAAAATACAATAAAAATTATAGTTTCCCCTCACTGCAAAAATGAAACCTTGGTAATAAATACAATGGATTAAAGCCTCCTTTATTTTGAATTAAACTTTTAAATATGTATATTGAAATTGTTATTTTAAAAAATTAATAGCTGTTTATATAATACCATAATGTGGTATTCATTATGTCATCCATAAATATAACATAAAAATGTGAAAGAATGACTCAGTGACTTCCAGAAAAAAGGGGAGACATTAAGTTTGGTTGAGCAAAATACAATTAATCTAAAAGGTTTTTCATGTATGAACACAGAAAAGGTGAAAAAAAGTTTGTCTAAATAAATTCATCTTGTAATCATCCATTGTCTACGTCTGCTCATCCTTACAGAGGAGCTTGTTTATCTCCACTGGTCACTAGGCAAGAGGTGAAGTTCACCATGGACATCTTTCCAGTCCATCACAGGGCAACATAGAGAGACACAGGAAAAGAAACCATGACACCCTCACACCTATCGATGAGAATTATGCAGATAGTTGAGTTTTATTTGCATAAACACATACATCACCATATCGTGGATACAGCTATCCGTAGAGTCGGGGTTCTGTATAAATCAAAAACAACCACAAAGAAAACTATTAATTTGGCGCTTTTTTTCAGAAAGTGGGACTCGATGTGTGACGGCTGCACTGAGGACTGATGCTTTGGGTTTTCCAGCTGTTATTCAGAAGTCTGAGCTGAAGACTGATCTCCTCCTAATGGAAAATGTTTTTAAGTATTTCTCCAACAGCAGCAGTTAATCGCTCTCTGATGATTAACTGAAGATATTGTTACTGCAGACGCTGAAATATTCAGGTCACACAGCAAAAACCACTTTAGAACCGAAGGTAACAAGAAGGATGCCTGGAAGGTTTCCGTTCTTCATGTAGCAGGTAGTGAAGTTCGGCAAAGAAATAAATGATGCCTTACTGCCACAAACTGGCAATGAGTGTCGACAAAACATATAATTTAAAAATAGATAAATAATACATTTAAAAATGTAATAAGGGACTAAATCCTCATTTACCATTTCAAGAATCAGTTGGATATTTTAGAGCCATCTTTTTTTCTTCCCTTTGTTTTTTGTACTGTTCCTTTAACTTGTTTGACACTTTCAATTTCTAATCTACTGAAATTTTGATCACAATTAAAGTTTCTCCTCCGACTACAAATATTTTTTCTCTAAGTTGAGTCCTGCTCCACACAAAAATATTTCCTGCCAAATGAATCAACCAGCTTCAAGACTGACTTCAACCTATACATAAACTAACAAACTACAGTCATGTCCAGCTAAAAATTCATGTTTCTTACTGCACTGGATTAAGAAGTTCTTAAATTCTGCAAAAAAAATCCATAATACAAGAAGCATAAATTCATCACATATTAATGTTTATCTCTAAATAAGTGCATTACAATCGGGTCCAACCATTGCAACAAAGGAAAGATGGAAAGCAGTGATGAACTAGAATCAGTGTCTCTGGGATTTTACAATTGTTTTTGTAAATTTTTGCAATCAAAATCACTAATTTTGGAAATATTTGTAAGACCTTTTGCTGTAGTTTTTCCTCACTAGAAGGAAAAAAAGTGAAAAAAAAAAAAAAAAAAGCAGACAGATTGGACACAAATATTTTTACTCTTTAAAGAAATTCAGCTCGATTTTAAGTCCCAAATAAACATGAAGCATGAAAAGGGAAGACAGGTGAGGATGAAAACAAAACATTATACATCTTCATTCAAATCACAACATATTGTAATAAATACTAAAATAAATCTATTTTCCAGTTTGTATTAATAAAACAAAAGGGATTTTAACCTTGATTTAGAAAAGCTGTTCCAAAATTTGACAAATCATTAAGTGTATATCTACAGGAGCCTGTGTGACTGATGTGCTCTACTGTCATAGTTTTGATGAAAAACCAGTTTCACCAGGTTCTTCCTAAGGCTTTGAAAGCAGCCACTGCTCAGAAATGTTCCCACTGGGGAAAGAATCACAGATCACTTTGTTCTAACATTATTTTTTACACTAAATACATGGATCCAATCAGATTCGCCGTCTGTTCACTTTTCCTCACATTATTCTATAGCTGCTAATTCCTTCACAAGCAACCAGAGGAGTAATGGGGTGGACACTTTTAGCAGAGTTAGCAAGTACTGGCTGTTTAGCAGCAGCTAGCTAAGGTTTTTTGTCAGTCTCGTCTGTATGAGTTTTAAGGTGAAGAACTAAACTTTTTCTCCATCTGAAAGTTTGATCACAATGCTTACAAGAATATGGTTTCTCACCTGTGTGAATTCTCATATGGCAGGTCAGATCACTATGATGTATGAAAGATTTATCACAGGACCCACAACTAAACGGTCTCTCCCGGGTGTGAGTTCTCAGGTGATCGTCTAAACAGGCTTTCTGTGTGAAAGATCTGTCACACAGTTCACAGAGGTATGGCTTCTCCCCTGTGTGAGTTCTGAGGTGACGCAACAAGTTGCTACCATGTTTAAAAGATCTATCACAAAGTTCACAATGATATGGCTGTTCGCCTGTGTGAGTTCTGAGATGAGATAATAAATTACTTCTCTTTGTAAAAGATTTATCACACATATTACAAGGCAGCTGCTTTTCACCTGTGTGAGTTCTGAGGTGAGAAGCTAAATGACTGCTCCGTTTGAACGACTTTTCACAAATCTCACAAGGAAATAGTTTCTGCACAGGTCCGTCTGAGTGGTTCCTCATGTGAACCGTCAAGTACGACCGCCTGGTAAAATATTTATCACATATTTTACAATACGGCTTATCCTTCATGTGGGTTTTCAAGTGAGCAGTTAAGTAGTAAGGCTTAGTGAAACGTTTACCACAAATGTTACACTGGTGAAAATCTGATTTTTGCCCTTGTAGTTCTGAAATGTCCACACTGTCGTCATGATTTCTACTGGATCCTGAGTCGTTCTGGTTGCTTCCATCTTCAGGCTGGTTCTTGTCTGGTTCTGGTTCACTGTTGTGATTTTGATCATTAGTTGGAGTCACCATAAAGGATTCAGGCTCCTCCTTCACTACAAGATGATATTTAACCTGATTGCAATCCTCCTCTTCCTCTTTAATCTTCACAGGTTCTGGATCTTCTGGTTCCTTTTTAATCTCTACAGGTTCTGGTTCCTCTTTTGTCTTCATCACCTGGTCCAGTTCTGGTTCTTTGTGGCACATTTCTTCATAAACACGAGTTGCTGTAGAGGTGCTGGTCTCCCGCTTCAAGATGAGCTGTCCGTCATCCTGAACGACCCACAGCTGGATTGTTTCTGCTTTATTTGGCCGTGGTTCTGGTTCCTCCCCTTCCTCTTTTATCCGTCTCTCTTTGTTAATGAGAAGATCATCAACCGGAACCTCTGAAGTAACAGACATGATGCCGTGGAAAACCTGAGGGAAGAACAGCAGAACATTAATAATGACATTTCTGTAAAAACCCAATAGATGAAGTCTGCAAAGAATTTCAGGGTATAAATATCCCAAAACTCTTGACTATAAAACAGCTTTTAAAGATAAACATGTAAAACTAGTTCGATTAAAATTATGTGTCTCAGGAGCTTCTGGGTAAGGTTGGAAAACTTGTCAAAAACTTTCACATTTAGAACATTTCCATGTTATTAAAGGAAAGTGGTGGAAATTAAACTCCGATATAATGCTGGTCACATTTAAAAGAAAAATAAATGACAAGAAAGGTCACCTGTAATATAAGTATTTCTAAGCTGAATTAAGGATTCTTAGGATAAAGTTTTGTTGTGTTTTCCTACATCCTACCATTTGGTTCAGTAAGTAATTTTCTTCTGCTAAAACAGGAGAATTAGTTTTCTCAGCTAGAATCAGATTTACTAAAACCAACAGACCCCCTGCAGCACGAATCTTTTGTCAGTCCTCCATGTTTACATGTCGTCCAGCCACCTGTCTGATTTTACAGCCTCAGTGACGTCAGAGGAGGATCATAAGTCAAAACACTGGACTCTTCCGGTGCCGTCAAAAAAAGAGCCCTCCATAATTTACTAAAGCCTACTGTGGAAAATCTGGATTTGGCATCTGGCTGTGTAATAGACACAGACAGACTTTATTTGTCATCAACTAAATTTAAAATGTGCATAGTTGGCAAAATTTTACTGCAAGACTCCACTAATAATATAATAAACAGTAATAAAGTATCAATATAAATATGGTAAGATGAATGGGAGCTTCGTAGTTTTATGGTATAAAGAAATGAAGGTCTTTTAATGTAACAAAATAATTGTACAACTGTACGTTTTATTTACTCTGGTTATTTTTGATATTATTTGATTGACTTGCTGAAATTCTAAAATGTAGCAAGAAATACTGTTTATACCATGAATCACAGAAGAATCCTAACGAAGCTGTAGATTACACTCCTTCTGGAACTCTCTTCTGTTTCACATCACGAAAACAACAAAAATAAACACATCAGGACCAAAATGCACTTCAACTCCTAACAAAACAGCCCGAAAACACAAACAGTGACGAATAAAGCAAACCATCGAGATGTAACAAAACAAGGGAATGTCCTGCGTCCTCCGCGGGGAGAACTAGTTCCCTGATAATATTCTCTGTATTTCGGTGTTATTTTATTCAGAACCGTGATGTTAACATACAGGGAGGTTCCGAGATGACTTGGAGTTTCCAGTTGTATCCAGCAGTCTGAGCTGAGGATCGATATAGATGAATATTTCTCCGGCAGCAGCAGTTAGTCGATCTCTTATGAATTCTCTCAGATGATTAACCGAAGTTATTTTACTGTAGACACTAAAACATTAAGCCAACAAAGCAAAAATCGTTTTTTAACCGACGATAAACACAAAGACACTTATAAGCTAACGCTGTTAGCGCATTGTGTTTTACTTCCGCCGGATGTCGTCTTCATCTACTTTTTAAAAAACCTTTATTGAACAAAATGAACAAAACAGGTTTTCCATTAAAGAACAGCATAGTAAAAGC